ATTTCGCTAGTGAGACTTGGGGGTGCTGTGCGCGTAAACGTATTCGTGCTGGGGGGTTGGGATTGGGGTTGTGTTCGTGTGTATCGGTATTGGTAGTCGCGCAAGCGCGTCATGTCGCCGGGAGATGCGGGTACGTTGGTGTTGGTATTGGTGTTGGGGTAGTTGATGTGATTGGTGTTTATATCAGTATTGAGAGTATTTTCGAAATCGAAGGTAGGGAGGTTGAGAGGGGAGAAGAGTGGAGGGCGAGGCATAGAGGATTCGGGGTCAGGGTCAGGGTCAGCGAAGGGATCGCGACGCTGGTTCATATCGGCGTAGTATGAGGTCATGTCGCCGTTGTTATTCTCATATTGGATTGGAGGCGGACGAGTCTGGGGACGAATACCCAGACCTTGAACTGGTTCATTGTCGTTGGTCTCGACAGAATGAATTGAGAGACCATCTCCCCACCCTGAACTTATCGTCGACTGTGCTCTTACTGTTCCCATATCTGCTCTATCCAATGCTCTTTCGCTATCTGCTTCCGATGCGGAAATTGAAGGTTTCCTCATCATATCAGAACGAGGCGCTTCGATATCTCCTCCATTACCTCCGTTTCCAGTTCCATTTCCATTCCCATTCCTCCTCATACCCATCCCATTAGCAAGTGCCTCCATTCCCGTAACCGGTTTCTCCCCCATGGCCCTCAACTCTGCGTTTCTTTTTCTTTGCCTCCCAAAGGCTCTCCTGACGAAAAATCCCACAACAGCTAATGCAATTAGACTCACAATAACCGTCACACTTACAGTTACTGCAAGAGCAGAAGATGTATGGTGATGTTCGGTAATGGTGCCTTGGGTATCTAAAAATGGAGTAATGGTAGGACTATTTTGGTTGAGAGATGGGGCAATAATACTACTGGTAGTTGTACTCGTGATTGTTGTTTTGGGACTTGATTTTGAGGTCGAGGTTGGAGAGGAGGTTAAGGCGTAGATCGTTGAGGTTGACGTTGACTTTGAGAGGGTGGATGTACTGCTGGGGAAGTAGGATGAGGTTGATATGGAAGATATGGAAGATATGGATGTAGAGCTATCAGTATAAGTATCGGTATCAATGGTTGCTTGAAAGATTTGTGTAGGGGTAGTTGTAGCTGATGTAGTGATTATTGCGCTGGTCGTTATGGTACTCATTGATGTTACCGTCGTCGGAATTTCTTCAATCTATGAGATATTATAAGTCAATGTTAATATAAGGTGCAATCGAGAACTTACAACAGTAGTCGAATCGTGTGAACTTATAGATTGTGATTTTGGTTTGGGTTTACCTGGAGCATCCGGAATATTTGGGATATCCGGAATATTCATATTTGGGATATCCGGAATATTCACATTCGGGGTATTCGGAGTATTCGGGTTGTTCGGGTTATTCGCGTTATTCGGGAGATCAAATTCACTGTTATCTCTTTTATTTGCCCAGACTAACTCAAATTCCTCTTCATATACACCCATCACCAGACCTCTTGGGTTGTGGTTGGTCATTTTAGAGATAGATACAGCCTCAAACTCAATTAAAAGTATGTAAAATGAAAGCCTAGATCCAGCTCAGGGAAAGGATCATCTCAGTTCAATAAAGTATGAATAGTCAAGAACGAATGTATGCATGAAACAATAAAAGAATGAAAGAATGATAGAAAAAGAATACCAGCCTGCTGGAAAGAAAGAATATTCAAGTCCACCTCACGTAAGTTTGACAGCTTTACGAAGTATTTAAGGCCAAGACTGTTGTGCCAATACGTATATACTTATATCTCAGAACAAGAATGTGGAGATGTGAAACTCCCCCTCGAAAAACACTCGGTCGATGGTTCACCATAGGAAAACCCCGTCTCTATCAAATGAAGGATGGATGAAAACTTATTTTAAAATAAGTAGGGAGAAGATCAACATATTATTCGTCACAATACCCAATATCAACTAATTCCTATTGGTTGTTCAGAATGACTTCTTGAAGAAAACTTCTTTCAACCACATTCTTCAAGGAACTACCAAGATCCGAATAGCTATATCATTTAGTATGGGTATGTATTTGGTGACGAAGGAGCTCGTAAGAACTGGTGGTTGGGGAATATGAGTAAAGTCAGAGCCCAATAAAGTGAAACAAAAGCAAAGTTTCCTCGGTTCAACTCAATGTCTGTGCGATCTTGAATTTCTGAGGAAATCCCCCTTACAATGCTTGCACACATGTCTTGTAGGGTTATTGATAGGGTTAAAGTGTTTGTTCATGAAGATCTGTGGATAGTAGGAGTTTCCTATCTGTTGCAAAATGGTGCGGTTTGAAATCTGGCCGTGTAATGGAATGTCAATGATCGTCGAAGCCTCGCCCTACTACTCTGATGTAATAATGAACATTGAATGTCTGCGGACTCGATTCAATATGGAGGATCCGATGAATATAAGGTATGAGTGAACAGAAATAAAACATATACGATAGACGACTGGTGTTTAATTGAATGCTCGAAATATTCGAAAACCGGTCACCATGTTAAACGAGCAACTGTAGGTAGTGCAGAAACGAGTAAGACGAAAGAGAGCTGTTGTTGAGATGGACCGCGGGATATGAACGGATTATTTCGTTTGAAGTCGAACAAACAATCGAGTGGATGGAGCCCAATATTGCAAATCTTCCCCTCGAAAGAATTTTAGACCTCGAAATCGGATAATAATATACACCGTCGCAACATCCCAAAACTATTTATACCCCTGACGCCCTACCCAATCCAGCTTCTGTTCATACAATCCTCGTTCCGCCTGTAAAGTATAAGCACAATACCCGTTCAATTCTTCTTCTTCTTCTCTTCTACCACTTTCTCATCCACTTCCTTGACCGCTTCCATCTTCTTCTTCCCTCCACTCCATACCTCCCAGATCTGTTCCATAATTAGATCTCCATATCCCTTCCCCGCTTCCAAAGCTTCTTTTTCGTTTTGATCTCTCTTTTCCTTCCAATCTTTTCCTTCACCACCTAACCATATTTTCCCCAAAACACCTTCTTTCCCATCTCCCTCCACCCTCCCGACAGGTAGTTGACTGGCATTTCTTTTTTCCAATGCTTCAAGTACTCCCTCTCCTTTCGCTCCCTCATCCTGAAGTTTATATGTATTTCCCAAAAACTTTCCACTCTCCTCAGTTCGTTTCTTTTCCTGCGCTTCTCGTATCCTTCTCTGGGTTTCCTTTGCCTTTTCGGGTAAGTCTGTGCCCGTGAAAGACAGTACTCGTTTTTGTATGCGAGCCATCATTGAGACACCGGTGTATTCGTAGGCAAGGTGATTACCGCCAATACAGGTGGTGGCCATGAGAACGAAGGTATAGAGGTCTAATTTGCGAGGTGGGAGGACTGTATGAAGAAGAAGGGATTAGCTTGATATTGTAGGTGAGAGTCAAAAGTCGTAGATTGGTGAATAAGTAGAAAGATTCATAGAAAAACCTACTCATAACGATTGGACAAACGATGAGGGCTGCGAGGGATGCATTATGAAGAAGAGGGGTAGTTCGTGGATTGGCAGCACCGGGTTGAAAAGGTTGAGAAGGTTGGGTCGTAGACATTGTGATGAAAGAAATTATATTTCAATTTACTCAATCTGGTGGTAATACTAACTGATGAGGGTTGTACAATATAATAAAAATTGCATGCAAGATACAATCCCCTACCTAGTGGACAATGGGGCGTAATAATGACGCTGTAGGGAATTTAATTTTTGAGAGCCCGGAGTAAGGTTATTCCGAACTGTACAGCGACAAAAAGCCAAAGTTTTGCTACAATCTTGCTTTAATCTCAATCTCAATATCATATACGTATAGCCAGCCAATAGCCAATTACCTTGAGACTTTTACTTGTAATTGAATCGAAATCATCAGAAGCTATATTAGAGTAGGAGAAGTATCAATACTATTGAAGAACTTATGATTAGATGTTGTTGGACAGAAGTGTGAGATTGAAATGAAAAGTAGCTAATATATATTATAATAGGGTTTTAAAATCATTCAAATATGACAAGACAAGGCACTTTGCCAGAGTGGTTAATGGGTAGCACTCGAATTCTTGTAGCTTACTACAAAATATAAGATATGCTATGTCTTCGGACGCGCAGGTTCAAATCCTGCAGGTGTCGTTAAATTTGTTCATTTTATTCTTTTTCTTTTTTACTTGGGATTCTAATTTATTTTTTTCTGGGAAATTTAAATTTAAGTGGTTTGTTTCTCTGAAAGCCATCAAAGACATTCATTTCTTGACCCCCACATGATAACCCTCCTTCCTGTTGGTGTTCTCGAATTCCCAGCTTGCTTCTATTGTTGAGTTATTGAATACTTGACTCAAACAAACAACTGTTCTTTTTTATCTATTCATGACTTGAAGGACATCTATCTATCTATCTATCTATATATAATTTGTGAGTCAATCTATCCTTTAAATTCGATGGTTTGCATTGAGGGAAAGTTTGGACGCTGGGGTTCATCGCTAGCTATATGGAGGATTTCTGTATGACTACCTAGATTTATCATCTCTGGATTCCGGATGGGTATTCTATGACTTACATGGCCTGCCAAAAACGATTTCGATGTTTATCAATCACACTGCCTCAATATCTTCTCAGCCACAATCGCTGATAAGTGACAGAGAGGCGATATCATGCGATGTGATTAGATCTGGATTGGAAACCCGTGTCATTTATCGTGTTCCTTTCAGCAGTTGTGGTCCCTATTGTCTTAAGTTCTCCTTGTTCCTCCACAATTTTATCTGTTCCTGTTGGGTGGTTCTCTATATCCTAGGGATTCCAGTGGTCTTGTTATTGGCTTTGTCCTATCACGACGCCAACTAACGACGACTCAGAGGAGTCAGAGCGGATTCTTGCTCTTACAACGATCTTTATCGATGTTCCAAGGAAGATCATGTCAATCTCCAAACTCCAAACTCAGTGAGTGATGGATAGACTTACTTCCGCTAGGTCCGGCAGTGGTCGCCGATCCTCTTCGAGCATTCCCACGAATGTTTACTAATTTAGACTGGACTGCTTGTCACCCCCTTTCATAATTGAGTGGATAATGATGGTTCAAGGTTCGAGTATCTTAATCAATCAGAGTTCGGCGCAAACATATCTTCTGGTTTAGTTCAGATGAGTAGGTGGGATATGACATTTGAATACTCGTCTTCTACTTGAAATTCCTTATTCTAGTCTTCATGATGCTCTCTTAATTGATCGAGCAAAAGTTGTTCGAGCACAAGAATTAGCTCTTCAATTCCATGTACCACTATTTTCCCAAACGGGGGGATCATGTGTTCTTGGATCTAGTCTGTAGTTAGACATATCAAGCTTTCCTAAACCATTCAGTGCTTACTGTACCGGTGCCGGTACCGGTACTGTAGTAGCTTTTCGTTAGTTCGGATCATCTTCCAGGATAATATCGTCCTATTTATATTGTTTTTGATACAAATCGTCTTTATTGTATTTCTAAATGTTTGTGTTACAGCTATTGCAAAAGTCTCAATCTGATGTTGTACCACCAACACAAATGTATTTTACTTCAAGTGACCTAATTTGTGAATTATACTGTAGTTGTTTTTCTTTCACTGGATAAACAAACCTTAATGCCGTGTTCAGTTTAAGGCTCAAGATCTTCTCCATACGTCTCCAACTTCACAAGTTCACATCAATTATCAAAACTCGGTCTGTCTTTTTACCAAATCAGTTCTCGTTGACAAGTTACACAAGCAAGTAATCATTACTGTACTACCGGTATTTGATTGTCATTAATTCCCCACTTCCCATCGATACTATTCCCGGCGAGTCGTAGCGGTCAGATCCTCAGTTGATCCTCATTACTTACCCATTTTAAATGCCCCGTATTCTCACTGAATGCAGCAGCAGCGTGCAGATTATTCCACACGCAAAGCTTTCCTCTTCAATATTTATCTTACTATCGTATTAAAGATCTTCCTATGGGGAATGTTCTGGCAATGAGTTAGGGGTAAGTCGGGGGGGGAGGGAATCTTGTACTCCCAAAAGTTCACAGATCTTGATATATTTGTTTGACAAGCAAAAGATCATGGATACCACGCATTAGTGTTGTATGTGTCATGTGCAGTATCTCGAAGGAATCTTGACATCGAGTTGACATCTGGCAAAGTATTCTTCGGGTCGGTCCGAAATTGTGCATCCGCAGGTCTAATCTTGAAATACCTACCTACTACAGTACCTGTACCATTACTGTATTGTCAAAAGTAGCATCTAGCATTTGGAGCACTGATGGGAAATATCAGCATTCTTGCCAGAATGGGCCTCTTTATATACTTACGACGGCAATCGTTCCAACAAAAATCGAGGCTCTTGAGACGTTGCAATGAATTGCAATAAGAAGATCAGGGGAGAAAGACATTGCCCTGCAATACGTTCCGTTCCGTACGTACTCGAGCACTTTACCAATAGCAGCAAATCAACGATCTCCCATGAGTCCCATTCCATGAACCGTTTTTATCCTTCCTAATTATTAATCAATCAATTTGCCTTTGAATCTAGATACTACATACCCATGTATACACCGATCTCGGACTTACGAGCCGTTATGGTACTAATACTTCCAATAGCCATCAACATCCCCCCTGGCAGCTCACCACGGTACCTATTCGAACCTATCGGGGATTTCTTTTAGACCCAAAAATTTGGCACGCCAAATTGAACTTGCATATCGATTCCGAATCCATACCTGACCCTCCGTATCTGGAATAGACTGATGGAAAGGTCTTTTATTTCATCGATTTTTCATACGCCGTGTATGAAAACTCGGATAAGGTTGAGTAAAAAAAACATGATGTAATCTGGCAATGTGGCTATCACTGCTACTTCTTCTATTACTCTTTGTGAGGAGTTTCTAGATAAAGGTACAAAATCACCCACGAGTATGGCAGCTTCGAATAGCACCGATGTGCTCTCAAAACCAAGTCCTATCATTAAATCTCAATTGACATCTCCCTAATACAATCGTTCACTCAGATATATAACCTCTGGTTCTTGACCGTTTTATCCCCGATTCCTATCATCTTATCCTCTAACTTCAAATCCCCTTTCTGCTCTTTCTCCCCGCCCTTTCCTCTCGCCCACAATGTCTCCATCTCCTTATCCAGAAGGAACACCTTACTGCGGTGAAATTGTTCTTTATATCGCCGTATCCTTCTCTGTCCTCGAAACCATCTTTGTGGCGCTACGATATTGGGCTCAGTATCTTGCGAGGAAGCCTTTTGGCATAGATGATGGGTTAATTTTATTGGCATATTTATTATGTACTGCTGGAACGGCTGTGGCTCTCGGTACGTTTTTTTTCTCCACTTTTCCTCTCCTCCCCCTCTCTCCCCTCAATCCCCTATCCCTCTTCAATCCATCCTCAACTAGCATAAACTCTTAAAACTAATATCTCTCCTACCAAAAGTCGGTATAACCACTGGAGGAATCGGCTACCACGTGGTAGACGTCGCCGTCTACAACCCCACCGCTCTAATCCTCTGGGCCAAAATCCTCGTCATCGGCGCCATAACCTATACAAACGCCTGCTGCGTTCCTAAAATCGTCATTCTCTGCCTCTACCTACGGATATTTACCGGAAAGTACTCACGCCTCACTTGCTATATCCTCATCTCTGTGATTTTGAGCGTCGCTGTTGCAGATACCATCGCGGCGGCCGTCATGTGTTTACCGCTGAATTACTTGTGGGATAAAAGTATACCCGGGGGAAAGTGTGTGAATATTCCTGCGCTTTATCGCTATGGAAGTTTGCCGAATGCCGTGACCGATATTTTCATATTAGTGGTACCAATACCGACGGTTTGGAGATTGCAGGTTGAGATGAAAGTCAAGATTGGATTGACCATTACATTTGCCACGGGGAGCATGTAAGTGAATACATTTTTTACTCCTCCCTTTGATATTATTCTGGCCGATGAACCTTTTAACCTCGTTCTGGGATTCTGATGCATGTACGTATGGATCAATATACTGACAATTCGTAGAGGAATGATAACTTCCATCGTTCGCTGCGTCGAATTTTTCACCCACAACCCAGTCGAAGACGGTACCTGGAACGGCGTCAGATTTCTCTACTGGTCCATCATCGAACCGGCCGTGTATCTCATCGCCGCCTGTCTCCCCTGTTACCGACCTCTCATCAAACCCTTTACGCGAAAATTAAATGGGTCCTTGGCGACGCGAGAGAGAACCAACTCCAAACATATCAGTGGGTATGGCCTGGGCACGAAATCGGGCGATCGATCGGGATTCGAGGATCTAGAGAGCGGGACTGGGACCGTGACCGGTAAGGGGACGGAGGATTATATTTTAAAGGAAATTAGAATCACGACGAGTGTGAGGGAGAGTGATGAGGAGAGTTTGGTGGGTAATGGGAATGTGAATTTTGTGGAAGCGATGGGGCAGAGATATGGGGAAGGGGAAGGGGAGGGGAAAAGGTCGAGGGGTGATATTATGTAGTAGGGTAAGCATAGTGATTTTTTCGAGAAGAATACAAATAAATTAATTGTTAATGGATTAGGTATAAAACTTGATGCTGATAAAATTACTGTAATATTAGAGTATGTGTATATTCTGTTATCTATTAATCTTAATCTTTGAGTAATTATACATAGTATTCCTGAACTTGCTTGTATATACTCGAGTATACATATATTTATACGAGTACATACCATATCAAATAATCAAAGTTCAAACCAAATGATTACAATATCACCTCACGTCCGAGTTACTTCGCCTTACCTCACCTCATCCAGTTACTCGTAGACATTACAAACCAATATATAAACCTATCGTATCCTATTCTGTCCTATCCTATCCTATCCTACCTAGGTATCTACAAGTTCCTTTTTCTTAAGTTTCAACTAATTATCAATATAACTTAATAAATGACTTTTAAACTAATTTTGAATTTGAATTTCGTACTAAAACTTCTAAAAGTAAAACAAAGCATTATATTACAAAGTAAGACAAATCTAGATCTAAATCTAGATCTTATCTTCTCTTCTCTTCTCTTCTCTACTCGAGTATATAATGATCAAGAATTCATAAGAGAGTAGAGAGTAGAGAGTTCGTCTCTTATACTCGTATATGACACCGGTGTTATTTATTTAGTAAAGTTTAGTTTTTATTAGTTGTTGTTAGTTGGTTAGTTAATCAGTTAGTTAGTTTATTTTGTTATTATATTGTATTTGAGCATTTGAGTATAATATAATATGAATACTAGTAGTAGTATAAACTGTATAATATTTCTTCCCTTTTATTAAATCGAATACTATAGATTAACTCGGGAATAGAAAGCTAAGTGTCTATTTATCTATCTATATATAGTTAATATATAGTATATATACTAGTATTTCCAGTACTAGTATATTAGTCAATAGTTAACTAGTTGAGCTAATATAGCCTGAGTACTGATTGAACTACTACTATTAGTACTAGTGGTTTAGTTTTATAAATTCAAATTACTACTCTACTCGAGTAGTTAGATATAGAATTTCAAACTATCAGTTCAACTATAGCTTTTCAAACTACTAGTTTCCCGACTAGTTCAACAAAACTACTAACCAATTATACTATTATTATAGTATTCCTTCAAGCTCTTTTACTAAATGAACTCGGGGATCTATACTCGTAGCT